TTACTGATATAAAAAATATGCGATAAAACTTTAAACCATACGATTATACTGAATGTAGTGGTTAGGAAAATACTAACCAGAATCTGCAATCATTATATTAAGGATTTGTTTGTAAGACTAACGTATACCTAAATCGATTCCACAATGATCGATATGTTTACTTTAAGGGGTTATATACAGTTAGAATTTGCACAATATTTACCGAGCGAGCGAATTCCGATCCCACAGAGCATTATAACTGCCAATGGGACATGAGTTTATGAGCAAGACATGCAATCAAGACAGCAGTTATCAGAATGGAGGGGAAAACACTAGCCGAAACTCAAAAACCCAAGCCAAAGCCACTGAAAAATCAAGTGATGCTAATTTTTTTTTTTAATATTCGTGGTTTGGTGCATCATGAATTTGTTCCGGCGAGAGATACGGTCAATAATATAATAACATAATAATACCCAACGATTACCCTCCTCCCGCCCAACCGACGCGAGGGGCGCAATCCGCGAACGAGCGGAATTAGCCGAGTCATAAAAGGCAAGAGAGTTTTAAGCCTTGCGATCTTAAGCTACTCAGCTACAGAAACAAAAATTTCAACAGTCAAAACTAAGAATTTGATTAAAGTTTATAATTTTAAATGTTTCTTGTTAAGAGTAGATAAAATAATTTTTTTAATGGTAAGGAGTGAATCTGTTAGATCAAATGTGCTGGAATGAGAATTGAAAACGTGGCATAAACGGCGGAATGGTTCGTTTAACTCGAAATTTGTTCTAGAAAATTTTAAAAGTAAAAGTCTAAACTTCCTGTTAGAGCGAGCGGGAATGTTAAAATTAATATCAGACAAGAGAGATGGGCTACAGACTGACCCATTGATGAGTTTTACAAGAAATATTATACCAAGCATTTCCCTACGACTAGCGAGTGTGGGGAGATCTATAAGCTTTAAACGGTTAGTGTWAGGGGGAAGATTTAAATTGGAATCCCAATGCAAATGATTTAAGGCAAAAAGTAAAAATTGTTTTTGAAGGGACTCTATTTTCTCAGAATGAACTTGATAACAAGGGTTCCATACCACGGAAGCATACTGTAACCTCCCCAAAGATGTAAAAATTTTTGTGGTACGCGGATCTCTAAATTCTTTAGATCAACGTTTAACAAAACCAAGAGCACCTTTAGCTTTAAAAACCATGGAAGATGTGTGTAGATTAAAATTGAGTTTGGGGTCCACAGTTACTCCCAAGTAAACAATACTGCATACTTGCTCCAACCTAAAGTTTTGTATTACGCATGAAGTAGGCTCTACAGATCTCCGTGAAAAGCACATCGTTTTACATTTTTTAATGTTCAATGGCATGTCATTTCTAACACATCAAGAAACTAGGTTGTTTAAGTCTGTTTGCAATTGACACTTTCCCTATTCGAGGTAACTGATATAAAAAGTTTTACATCGTCAGCATATAATAAAACGTTTGAAATTCTAACAACAGATGATATGTCATTAATAAATAACAAGAACAGAATTGGATCAAGATGGCTACCTTGAGGAACACGTGAAGGAACATTGATTATGTCCGAAAGAGTATTGTTAAATATGACTTGTTGTATTTTTTGACTAAGATAAGAAGCAACCCATTTAAGAAATATTGGTTGAAAACCAAGTTTATTCAAAAGATTTGAATGGTTTACTTTATCAAAAGCTTTACTAAAATATGTGTATTCTTATTCTCCCTAAAGCCCATTGATAAGGAGTTCTATTTCTCCGTATTGACTCATTTGCGTGAGAATATTCGTCGAAAACGGTCGGAATTTTGAAAGAAGAATTCATGAAAATTACGGGGTGATAATGCACCACTTCATCGAGCCACGATTTTGACCGAATTCAAAGTCAAAAATGCAATAAACACCATCGATCAACCATCGTTTTCACCAGATTTGGTTTCATGTAATTTTTTCTTGTTCCCCAAACTGAAGTAATCACACCGTGGAACCCGTTTTCAGTCGATTGATGAGATAAAAGAATATTCGTTAAGGAACAGCCCAAATAGTGGTTATGAAAGGCGCCTCGATGGGTGGAAAAATTGTTGGCATAAGTGCATTACATCTGTTATGGATAACATTAAAGGCAATAAAGTGTAAAACTGCCCGTTTTGTTTACAATTTTCGGGTACTTTTTTTGTCACAATGTATAACGAGTATTTTTTGAGAAAAAAATTTATTATATAAAAAAATAAATTTAAAAATTGTTTTTAAAATTGATTTTTTGTTCATTTCCTCTTAGCTGTTACGGTCCTTGTAATTTAGAGCAATGCGATATATTTATAGTATTATTAAAATCTTCCCACATACCATGTCTTTATGGTAACTGCAGGAGTTAAGAAAAGCAAAACCTTAACTATCGATTTATAGCGGCAATTTAAGGTAGAAATTCGCTATACGAGTACGCGTATATGAATAGATATCGTTTCCTAACTTAAAGGTTGAGTAAAACAGACTATAACAACAACATTGATAACTTAAAAAAAGAAAACAAAAAGAGCAACGATAAAAAAATACATTCCAAAACCATAACAAGCTTAGTAAATGCTGGACGCAAAGCAAATAGTACAATAGTACATAACAAACAAGCGTACTTGGGGAAAAAGCGCTCAAAGCAGTCGTCGCGTCCAAATGTGTGAAATGGAACATGCCCACAGAAAGTAGAATATGAAAAGAAAAAGGCACAAACAAATACAATGCGATCACCGTCCACACAAAAAAAAAAGCTAGAAATACGCAAATCCGCTTATATCCCTTTACGCGCAACTGGCTAAAGCCCACCCGCCATGCCCTTACCCCGTTCCCTGTCCACACATCCTGCGACAACAAAAATTTGCGAATCGCAATGACTTCGAAAACAAATGAAAGAAGCGGATAAAAGCAGTGGAAACTAAAACTGACACTGAAACTATTGCCATATATTGGTATTAAGGACGGACATCATTGCTAAAGCGGAGCTAAAATGGAGCCACACACTCACGTGACGGCACTAAGGGGAAGGGACACTTTGAGCTGCCTGCCGACGCTGCTGGAATATTTAGCTTAGCAGCGGCGAATTGTTTCTCCAAACGCTTTTTGCAACTCCGACTGTGAGTGTCAGTTACAATTGTGGCAGCTTGCCCGAGAAAGTGAGCGAAGAATACACACAGACACGACTGCTCACTTATACACACGAGTGTGCTTGTTGCAGATAAATCATCGCTTAAAATGTACTTAGCAAGTGTAAGTGAGTATTTAAGTTGCTTAGCGAGCGGCGCTTAAGTGCTGTAAGATATACTAACATAAAAATGCTCGCTTGCTTGCTTGCTTAGTGAAAAGAAAATATATGAGCGACTGAGTGGAGAAAAATAAAATTATGATTATGGATATCTTACCGTTTGTCAGAGTGTAAGATCAAGCGCATAACAGCCGTGAGATGTGAGAATAATGTGAAATACTTTTGGAGCTTAAATAGAGGATGCTTTGTTTTAGAGCTGAATTTCAATGAGTGACAGCTGTCACAGCAGCTGTCAAAGTGTGACACCTCTTTGATATTAATGTTCAGTCTCGTTTCTAAAGCTGAAAAGCAGGCTAATGTTATCATCAATGGTCAGTGCTTCAGGCAGCTGATTCGAAATTTTTTGTATCCCCACAATAATATTAGGTAGGCGAAAAAGGCGTTTCATATTTCTGATTAAACTTCAACTTATTTCTTTTTACATTTATAGTGAACCAAATATCAACCATTTTGGTCGAATACTTTTCGCTATTTTTCCACTAGAGAAGAAGTACTTTTCACAGGCTTCTCTTGAAGCCACCTTTACTGCAACAGATGGTAGTCCGATGGTGCGAGGACAAGGTTATATGGTGTATGCATCAAAACTTCCCAGCCAAGCTCTATCAGTTTTTACAAAGACATCAAAAATGTGTGTGGTCTAGCGTTGTGCTGATGGAAGACTAAGCCCTTTCTGCTGATCAGTGCTGGCCGTTTTTTCGATTCCTTGCTTCAAGCTCATCAGTTGTTGACGGTAAAATGTGAAATCAATCGTTTGTCCAGAAAGGTGCAGCTCACAATGAATGATTCCTTTCCAATCTCATCAAACACTCAACATAACCTTTCGAGGCATCAATCCTGGCTCTGCGACCATTTGCTGAGCTTCACCACGCTTGGACCATGAACTTTTTCGCACATTATTGTCGAGTTTAATTCACCTTTTGTCTCCTGTTACCATTCGCTTCAGAAATGGTTCGATTTCATTTCGTTTCAGCAAAGAATTGCAGATGTTTATTCATATGTCACCCAAACATCGACATTATTTTTGTAGCCAGCCTTTTTTAAATGATTCAAAATGATTTGATGATGAATTTTAAGTTCACACTCTTGCAACTTACCCGAATCATAGCCAGGGAAATACCTTCAGGCGCTTAAGGTTAATAATTTACATAGGAGTGATTTTTCTTGAGCGAATTTGGATATTGTACCTTAATTCGTTTAGGAGATACATGCATTAAATCTATTAAAGAGCGGATCAGCCAATGTATGTTATGATGAATTTTATACAAATGCCTTATGAAGGTCAGTTCTAACCATAAAACATGTGAATATAATCTAGTGGCGTCCTATCAAGAAATTTGAACTTCTCAGACTATTTGCTATTGGTTTATTTAAAATATATATTTTGCTTGACAAGGTCTTCAAACAAACGATGAAAGTGAGTCAAGTTCGCTAAACAAAAATAACAACAATTGTTTAAAAATGCTAACAACGACGTCGGAAGGCAGTTATATATGTACGTATGTGAGTAAGACTTAAAATTTGTACATAGATATAGTATATTGAAACACTTAAATATTTCCTGGGTTGAGTCAACGAAGCTACTCGTTGTGTTAGAAAGCAAATATATACCTATACCATATATATATTCAAATATTGATATGTATAAAAACAGAAAATATTTGTCGGCAGCTAACATTTTAAGTTTGGTGAACGAAGGTGAATGTTCCCTAAAAATGGCAACGAAATTATTAACTTTACTCGTTTCCACTTTTCTGTTACTGTCTTTGATCAGCAGGAACATCAACGTGATTGCAGCAGAGACAGAAACTAATGCCGTTGACGATTTGGGCTCAGGAAATTTGGATGATAAAGCTAATGTAATTCTTCAAGATCCTATTGATGAGGAAGAAAGTGAAGAAGACAACGAGGAAGCAGACGACGAAAATGATAGCGAAAAGATCGAAAATAAAAATAAAGATAAAAAAGAAACCCGCAAAGAGTCGACAGAGATAAGTAAAAGTGAAGCAGATGGCGCAAAATTGGAGGAAGCTGTAAATAAAAAAGGTGAGTATGTCAAAAAGAGGAATAAGCAAAAACGTATTGATTTTCGATTGACTTGAGGAAGTGTCTTGCCCCAGTTAGTGTGCTAAATCTGTGCCCATTTTAGATTAAGAATACTTCTAACTTTTTTCAAATTCATTCATTCATTATTTCTTCTCTTCACCGTCGGTACACAACGATTTTTAGAACAACTTTATTCTAATAATTCACAAAACATTTATTTAGAGGTGGATAACTCTCAAAACAAAAGAGGCAAAAATGGCGGCAATCGCAAAAGAAAACGTAATAACTTGAAAAATCGTAAAAGAAAACAAGCAATTGTCGAAGCCAATCTCCAAGAGCTTCCCCTGTTGGAAAATGCGCAAGAGGAAGAAAAGAATATTGAAGCTGAACCAACAACGGAGAATACCGAAGATTCAGAGACCGGTAGCGAAACTGCGACACAAGAATTGAAAGACATTAAACAGGAGTCTGAAGGAAATAAAAAAGAGAAAATCCGTGGATCGACTACTAAGAAACCGAGTGCGAGGAAACCTAAAGCACGACCGGCAAAATCTGCAAAACGCAGTACCCAAAAATTCAAGGTCACTGGAATACCATTTCCGAAAAATAACAAAGGTAAATCGGCAAATGGTAAAAAGAGGCAAAAGAAGAAGCAGAAGGGACGAGGTAGACGAAGACCGAAGTTCGGAAAGAGCCTCTAAAGGAAGTTAGCATCTTAATTAATTTCTTATTAATTAAGTAGATTTTATGTTAATATTATTTATTATTATATGGAGAAGATTATTTTAATAAACATTTATTTTATTCAGTTAGTTAACTTGTCGGAAACCCCTATAAATTAAGTGCGCATACAATGGGGTTTAACCAGCTGATTAGGTTATGTTAACAGGTCGATCCTAACAGGGATCTCACTTCTGCAGCTATGAATACCGATCCATTGTGGTACTTAAAAACTTCTATATACACCGGATAATAAGACCATTACAAGTCGGCTAAGCGCTTTGAGCGCTAAACTGTCAGTGGGAATTTATTTAAAAAGTAAGTGGTCGTCATAGAGGAATAGAAGGAAACGAAAAGGCAAACAAGAATACAATTTTTCTACCCGTTTCCATGAGAGTCGGGTCTACGAAACCGGAACTGACCCTATGTTCGTGGATATCAGAATATTTCACACTCTTGCAACTGGCCAGGATCAAAGGCAGGGAAACGGGTTTCATCCATTATTATTCTTTTAAGGCACCGTTATTAAAAAAAAAAAAACACACTTTCATAAAAGTAACTAACATATTGGCCGATATGTGCGATGTATCAGGAATAGGGGGGCAATATTTTAAGCAAATTATTCGGGTAAAGATTTTTACCGATACGATGTACAACCAACCTGTTATGACAGAAATGCGACGAAAATTTCCCAATAAGCTGATATCCAGAAACTCCACATTCCGTTGGCCACCCAGGTCGCCTGACCTTACTGCACCTGACTTTTTCTTGTGGGGTTATTGCAAACAGGAAGTCTACAAAGCAAAACCAACAAATTTGAGAAACAATTGCGGCTATTCCTGTCTCCACTCTCCAAGCAGTAATGAACAACTTTTTGGTAAGATGCCGCACATGTATGTGAAGTAGACGTGGTTGCAGTGCGACTTAGCTTGTTTGCCCTCTGAGTCATAGGAATGTCAAGATAACACTCTATACCAAATTTGGTCGATATTAGTTGAGATCCTGAGATATGATGGTCTCTGGAATATTTATTAATTGATTTATCGCCCCTTTAGTGGTTTTAAATGAAACCGTAATATGGCGATTGGGCGATGTAATCACCCGATTTTATTTTACAGTGTCGGTGTTTAAGTGATTTTTACAGACCGAATTCGGATATTGTACCTTAAGTGGCTTAGGAGATACATTATATTATATACATTAAGCCTCTGGCCGACAGACAGAGAGATAATCTCTTGTAATTCAGCTCGCGTCGTCATTCTGATCATTTATGTTGTTGCTTCAACTGTGCTTTTTGCTCTTCAAAAGCAATAATTTAACAACACGCGAGTAGTAATAGTTTTATTCATCTAACGGTTGTTTGTATCACCTAAAACTGATTGAGATTGATATGGAGTAAATTTATATATATCTAATATTATTGACACTGTCCCAGGAAAGTCTACCAACAAGGATTGGTATGATAAGTTCAGATGAAGCTGAAAGCGCATCGAAGAAGATTGATGAAGTGGACGCCCAAAAGAGATTGTTACCGAAAAAAACATCACAAGTCCTCAAAATAATTGAACTACGTGGACTTCTCACGAACCTGGTGCAAAGCGTGCAAAACCACAGCAGTTGGCTGGCAAGGTTAAGCCATCTATATTTTGAGACGAGGAAGAGAGGACCACTTGAAGAATGAATCACCCAAACCCAGCCGTCTTTGAGAAAAAAAAAAAAAAAAAAAAAAAAAAAAAAAAAAAAAAAAAAAAAAAAAAAAAAAAAAAAAAAAAAAAAAAAAAAAAAAAAAAAAACGAAGTGTAATGTGTAAAAAATGGTTCACCATTTGAACCTGGAACCTGGAAGAGGCCTATTTTAAAGCATACAACAAATCGTATTATAAAAATTGTGCCGAAAAGTTGGAGAGCCTCTGTAATCAGTGTATCATCCTTATTTATTAATTATGTTAAATAAACGCAAAGCGAAATTTCCCAAATATATGTATTTTACTATGGTAGGACGGTTACAAAAGAGGTTATAAACGGCGACTTAACAATACCGTTGTAGGTTAATAATGCTCTCACTTGAATAATTATTTTATCTTCGGTTATTATCATGGACGGGCAAAGGATGAAAAGTTAGCTCAAAGTCATATATATATGATTATTTAGAATTCATGTTGGCGGAATGCACGGACCCTCTGTTCGACCTTCCGCAGATCGGTAAAACATCATAATTTATAGTCTGGGGGAACGAAAGATTTCCATGTTCTTCTTCATCTACACTTTTTCCTTTTGATTTGATACTTTGTGATAGTTCATATTTTGACTATAAACAAGTCAAGCAGACTAAGGAGATATAACACCACATTAAAGAAAAACACTTTATTCCTTTTGAAAAATTCCGATAAATTACTCAACATAGTCGCTATTGAAAACCACAAAGGCATTAAGGTAGTCCTCCAATTTTGCGACATTCTATTTGTGGCACGCAACAATGTCTTGTCGATTATTTTTTCGTTATCGCCGGATTTTTTTTTTTCTAAACTTCCAGAGAGCATCCTCTTGATTAGTAAGGTTACATAAAAGAGACTAGGGAACAGTTGTGAATAATTTTGTAGCACCGGAAGTAATTCGAAGCCATGAATCCTATATCTGTGTCTTTCGAAGGTCACGACTAACCACAAAACATATGGAGATAATCAAGTGGCTATAGAAATTTGAACTTATCAGACTATGTGTTACACATGGGTTTATTTAAAATATAAATTTCTCTCGACAAGGTCTTCAAACAAACGATGAAAATAGGTTAAGTTCACCGTTCACAAATATACATATTTTTGATATATTGAAACACCTGTTTTGAGAAAATTTTTTTTAGATATTTTCTTCTATATTTCTAGGTTGAGTAAACGAGTGCATTAGAAAGCAAATAAATATATAATTTAAAATGTCCGATGACAACTGCAATTGTTATTATGTAAATAAACTGACTATATAAAAACAACATATATTTTGCTGCAGCTAACATTTCAAAATGCAATTTCTTTAAAAATGGCAACGAAATTATTAATTTTTATTGTTTCCACGTTTCTGTTACTGACTTTGATCAGGAGCAACAACAACGTGATTGCAGCAGAGACAGAAGCTGGTGCCGTAAAAGTAGAAAAGGAAAACAAAAATCAAACAGAAGCCGTTACAGAATCAAGTACAAGAGCAAGTAATGCAGATGACGAGGAATCGGGAGAAGATATAGTTAAAGAAGGTGAGTGTGTCCGAAAGAGGGATAAACAGGAACGAAGAATTTTCGGTTGACTTCGGGGAAGTGTCGTACCCCAGTTGGAAGTATTAAGTCCGTGCCCATTTTAGATTAAGAACACTTCTAACTCTTTTCATATTGTTCGTTATTTCATAGAAAAGGCAAATAAAAACCAAACAGAAGCCGTTACAGCGTCGAGTGCAAGTAAAAATGTTACAGTGGTTGGAAATGAAAGTAAACATCAAACAAAACCCGTTACAGAGACGAATGCAAGGGCAAGTGATGCAGATGACAAAGAATCAGAAGAAGATGTAGATAGAGAAGGTGAGTATATCAGAAAGACGGATAAGCAAAAACGAATAGTTTTTCGATAGACTTTGAGGAAGTGTCTTACTATAGTTAGAAGTATTAAGTTCGTGCCCATTTTAGATGAAAAGTATTTCTAATTCTTTCCAAATCTTCTTCGTCGGCACTTATGTATAGTGATTTTTTGAAAAAAATTTATTCTAATAAAAGTTCCGCATAATATTTATTTAACAAGCAATTGGCAAAGTCAGTATCCAAGAACCTTCTCTGCCGGAAAACGCGGAAGTCAATCTCCAAGAAGTTTCGCAGCCGGAAAATGCGCCAGCGGAAGAAGAGGAGATTGAAGCTGAACCAACTGCCGAAAATTTACAGACCCCTACCGAAAATGAGGCACAACAAGAAATTAAACCGGATTCTGAAGAAAATAGAAAGCAAAAAAATCGAAAACCGGCTACTAGGAAACCGACTACCAGGAAGTCGACTACCAGGAAGCCGACAGCATCACCGACGCCCACGCGGCCAGCAAAACCTCCCAGTCGCTATAATGTAAAAGTGAAAGTCAATGGAAAACGGGTCCCAGTAATATACAAAAATAAAGCTTCGAAGGGTAAAAAGAAGAAGGGGCGGAAGCAGAAGCAGGCGCAAAAGCAGAAGCAGAAGCAAAAGCAGAAGTGGCAAGGTAAACGAAGACCGAAGTCCGGAAAGAAGCGCAGGAAATCAAAATCGTAATTCGTGAGATAATAAACATAAAATAAAATAATAATAATTAAACTACAGATTAAGCATTCAACTGATCAATTGAACTCTGGCTAAACTGGCAAGGCGACCAGCAAAAGAAGTTCGATGATAAATTAAACACAACATTTTCATTCCTCAGTAGAGAAGTTCGGACAAATAGTTCGGTGACAGTAACAATATCTATGTATTCAGTCAGGGATCGAAGGATAAAATATAAACAGTAGCTGGCTTTTTCTATAGTAATCTATACGCGGAAGGTGGATTCAAACTAAATGACATTTCAGTCTTTCAGGCTGATATAGTAATCTATACGCGGAAGGTGGATTCAAACTAAATGACATTTCAGTCTTTCAGGCTGAAATTCTTGTCATAACAAAGGACAGCAAGTGGTCTTATAATTTAATTTAGGTTAGGTTAGGTTATGTTAAAAGGTCGATCCTAACAGGAATGTCACTTAGATAACTAAGAATACCAATCCATTGTGAGAGCTATCGGTTCGTGTGTTTGATTTTCGATATACTGATGATTTTAAACCCTCAGCTTCCAGCACTCCAGCTTGTAGTGTATGTGAAGCCTCTGGTTTAGAGCATACTAACTTTTACATGCTAGTTAATCGCAAGCTCTCCTTAACATCAATAAAACCTTCAAACAACTCGGTACCAGAATAAAGCATCAAACTGACATATGAACTCTACTCCACTCGTATGAACAATATTCAAGTACACTAATTTATTGGTTTCACATAATTTGGCTAGAAGAACTCTCGGTTACCTGGAGTTATTTACTTCAACAACTCATTGACAACTGGCATATAATATAGGATTTTTCATTAGGGAGCTACAAAAGTAGATCGATAGGGATGGCAAACGACGCAATATTTTTCCCGCTCTTTTGACATTTCTCTTCAGTAAAGTTTGCCATTTAATCATGTATCCAAAACGAATCGAAAATATTTTAAGGGTACTACCGAAATTCGGAGACAGCGGCCAATTATTTATAGCCATCATAATCATCCACTGAAACAAACAATTCTTAAAAGATCAAATTGCCGCAAGCACTGAAGCCGCTTGACCACCAGAATCGTCGCAGGTTTGTGAATTGGGTTGATCAACAACTTAAAAATGATTCAGATTTTCATGTGAGACAGCAATCCGAAAAAATTACGGTTTAGTGGGGTTTATGAGCCGGCGGCGTCATTTGCCACGTTACTGTGGATGTGAATCGCTACCGCTCAATGATAACCTAATATTTTTAAAGCTAATTGGATGATATGGACTTTTACAATATGTAGTTTCAAGAAGATGGCGTCTATAAGTGCACGGCGAATGTAACAATCGATTTATTGAAACCAAGTTTGGCGAACGTGTTATCTCATGAAATGGCCAAGTCAACTAGCCGCCGCGGTCGTGCGATTTGATGCCGTTAGACTATTTACTATGAGAACACGTCAGGTCTATCGTATATGCCAACAAACCAGTGAAGATTGATGAACTTCGCACGAATATCGAATGTATTGGCATCAGTATCGGCCGATTTATGCTCGAAAACCATCGAAAATTGCGTTCAGCGTCTGGACTCCTGCAAGCGTGCTCGTGTTGTCCATGCAAAAGAAATCTAATCCACAGATAATGATATCGAATGTACTTTAACGGGAATAAAGAATTTTTTTGATATTCCAAACTATTGTTGTTTTGTTTTATAGCGCTCTTATTGAAAAACCCTGTATATACCTTGTGCACAGTACTCTTCCGTAAGTAGCATTCTAGCAATATTTATTTGGTCTCTTGTCTTTTACTGCCCCCCCTCCGGCATCTTCCACGATACGCCAAAACAATGAGAAGTAATTAAAAGCGCGACAGCTGACATAGATGAGCGAACGCGGTTGATGAATTCGTTTATAGCACAAAACCAAATAGTAGTACCGTTACACATACCACACACAAGCAAATAAATATTTAGTTCCATGTTTGTATGTAATTATATTGTCGAATTCACGGTGTAGTTGGAGTAAATAATTAGGATTTCGCTAGTGTGTGTGTGGAAWACAAATAACAGTGCCGCCAACTAAAACTAAAACTAACAACTACAACAACCGATATCCACTACTCCTGTTTATTAGTTAAATTATGTAGTGCGCAGCATATGTTAGAGCAACAACAACAACAATTGCAAATTGCTTGCTATGGGAAAACTAAACTAGCTAGGGGCTTGAAATCCAGTGTATGCAAATCCCTGCCAAAACTACCGTTGCCGAAGTTTCGTGGTGTGTTTCGATCGTCAAAATAGCTGTTGTTGCTTGGCTGTGTTTAGTTATGCACAACAAGGAAGTACAAGTACATTTGTATATGTATTTGTTGACAGTTGCTTTAGTAACGTGCTCGCGCCAAAGATGTCGCTAATTGCATAGCATTAGACGCCAAAACAAATGTAAATGTAAAATAAATTAAAAATTCAAATGAGCTCGCGCTCGTTGTAAGTAGCGTCAGTAGTTCGGAATGCGGATGTTATTCCGTCAGTTTGTTTGTGTTTTTAATGTGTTTACAATGGTAATGTATGTGTGTGGGAGTTGAGTGAAAGTAAAGGGTTCCGTTAATGTAGTCTATTTCATTTTTAAAGGAGAATGTTCAAAAGTTCACAGTTGATTTTTGAAGAATCTTTACCTTCTTAATTGTTCTATAACGTATATTATATGGATGCGGTGTTAATCAGAAATATGTAATTAAAATTTCGCTTCAACTATAGTTAATTAATGATTATAATTACAAAGTAATTAGTCCAATTATAGTTAAATGTTGGTACGAGGTTAAAAACGAACCACATATGACTACATGGATATTATATACAATTTTCACAGAAGATTTTTTTTATTTTCAGAAAATTTAAGTAATCTCTGTCTCTTTCTCAAAGTCATCTTCCGAAGATATGGGGTTATATATATGTATATAAATGATCACGATACGAGAAAAGTTGTAATCCTGGTGGCTGTCAGCCCGTATGTCCGTCCAAGCATGTTGTAACTTGAGTAAAAATTGTGATATAGTAATGAATCTCTACTCTTCGGTCGAACTAATGCCGGAATAATATATGTATATCTCATTAGCAGATGTTTTTAATATTATTAGGTCTAAGTTAAGGATATTCAATATAAGTGAAGAAGATACCAAGTTTGACTGTAATTTATTCCCTGGATAACACAATTATCGCTATGATGACTTAAGTGTAGCTCACTTACGGTAAGGTATACATCGACTTTCTCTCTCAAACAACTAATCGATGAAATTTCCATATTCTAATACGGACATACTAATGAAAATAGTTAAAAGCATATACAGTGGACCAATAAAATTTACATACACCTAGTTTTATTAAATTACAACACATTTTTTGGTTTTAAAATTAATGTTTATTGTCGTTTTTTTGTATCTATTTCAAAATATGTATATTTAGCATATATATTGGCTTATCAAAATTTTTAT